ATCATGATGCTGCCACCACCGTGCTTCACATCATGATGCTGCCACCACCATGCTTCACAGTTGGGATGGTGGGTTTGTGTTGACGTCCAGTGTTGTGTGTAAGGCAAATAAAAGGTGTAGTCTAATTGCCAATAAGCTTTTTTCCAACAGTGGCTTTCTCCTTGCAGCTTTTAACTTTATCTGACGAGGAACAGGCAGCAATTGTTTTATGCTCAGTTTCTTTCATCTCAGCCACTGAAGCTTGTAACTCAAGAGAAGTCAGGTGTCTTGGTGGCCAACCTCAATAGACACTCAGTTTTTCAGGTAGACCATCACATGCCACATTGCTACCAGTTTATAATAATGTATTTAACTGTACTTTAAGGGATATTCAGTGGCTTGGAAATTTTCTTGAATCCATCCCATGACTTCACAGAGTTGCTTTCTGTTGTTCTGGTGTATTCAAAACCAGGAGTAATGATTTACTTGTGACTGGACCTCCACATACAAGTGTCTTTATACTACAGACACTTGAAACACATTCGTTTTACCAACTATGTGACTTCCAGCTCCAATTGGCTGCACCTGCGTTGAATTCGGTGAGTTTCTTTATGCAATCAGTTGTTATATTTTTCAGTTAAGCGAGAAAACTTTGGGTGTTTTTCATCAATTCTTTGTCATAAAAGCCAAATTAATGGGACCAGTAAAAGTTGGTGAATGTTTTTCACAGGGACCGTATCAGGACGACCGTCTCCTCTGTCTCGTTTCCTCTCAGTGTACGACTTTGAATCGATGCCCGCTTGCCCCAGGACCGTCTGCTGGCCCGGCGGGTCGCTGCGTCCCGCCGCCATCGCTCATGCCAGCGCGACTGCCGCAGGTGCAGCTCCGAGGCTCTCCGAGCCTGGCCGTACGTCAAAAGCCAGTGTGTTTGTTAGCGTTTGAGGTGTGTGTCGGTTTGGAGCTCCCAGCGGTGGGCAGCAGCAGGTGAGAGAGGAGTGTGATTACAGAACTCAGTGGGAGTAGGCGGGTCTTTGGCAGGTCTGGCTGAAGATGGAGGAACTCGGCCGAGTGCGTGCTGGGAAATTATCAGCAGCGGTGACCTGTGCCATAGTCGCCGCAACCTTTGTATCAATCACACTCGAGGTGAAACACAGACGCAGGAGAGAGAGAGAGAGAGGCATCAAATGTTTAAAAATGCCTCTGTAGCTTTGATGTCCGTCTCACAGTTTCGCGGCCTTTTCATACCGAGACCCAGTTGGCTGGACAAGTGTCGACTCTTACCGTCTCGCCCTCTTGCCCTGCTGTTCCATTCATGGGCGGGGTCACCTCCACTTCCACGCTGGAGCTGTTCGGAAGGTTCTTATCTGTGGAAATCAGAGGCGTAATTAACGAGAGAAGCATTCACGATAGGATTCATTACATGTGAAAGACACGAGGGTGGCAGCTCAGCCCAACTCGGTGAGCAGAAGCTGTGTTCAAATACGTTCTGTTTGATGGAATAAACCATCCAAATGTAGTACATGCTGATTCCAGTTGGTTTTTGTACGATAAGCTGTCAAAAAGTCGTTTTTTTTTCTTCTAATAGTTTATGGCGTTAGAACTGTGCGGCACTGCAGAAAAGCCATTTCTGAGTTGTCTCTACTTCGAGCCATGGTTTCTCTGTTGCCATGGAGGTTCAGGACTTTACGCCGAAGTGAAAAATGAACCCGCAGTGCAAGAAAACATCCAGAAACTGCTCGGCGTTCGGAGGGTTAATCCAAGTTAGACGTCAATGCAAGGAATCAATTATAGCTGCACACTTTTCATCTTTTATTTCATCTTTTTTTTTTTTTTTTGCCCGATAAACCAACTGAATTTCTATTAATATCCAGGATGCAAGGGTGCAATCAGGGCCCGCTTAATTATTTGTCCTATTTTGCTTTTAGGTGGGAAGTATCGTCACGACAACGGTGCAGACTTGTTGCACGCGGCGATGAAAGCGTTCGGTTCAATAAAGCGGCGCGTGAACACGCACGTCCGACACCACCTCCCCCTCATCATTTCCTGCCGCCCGACTCCATCTCATTCCAGGCCAGACTTACTTAACAGCCCTTATTAAAACACAAAGAGCCGAAAGCCATGTAATCAGATGATAAAAGTATAATTGCTGTGGAAATTGCTTTAATCCAAGTGTGGTTGCGACACAATTAGGAAGATTCTCGGGCAGATAATGCGACTCGGTCCGGCACACGACCTCGGATGCGTCGCAGTCAGAGATGAATCCGATCCCACGCTCCGACGTCCAGGCTCCCGTCGCTGCGTTCGAAGTTAAGAAACGCGGGAAGTAAAGTGACTACCCGTCGTGCATTTCGATGAAGAGGCTAATATGTTAATGCGGCGCCGTTAGCATAATTTCGCCTCGTTGATCAGCATCTAGGTCCTGCTTTGATTCTGCGGCCGTGTCCGTGAAAGCGCTTCCTCTGGCCTCCCGTTTGCGCTTTGGTCCGGCGTCTCTTTGATGTGGAAAAACACACATAAATTACACTCGGCGCCGACTGTGATTGATTTAAACGCTGCTCGAAGACAACACTTGGAATCAATTTGGCAGTTCTTGATAATGTCATGCTCGTTTAACGTCGGATGTGACGCTCGTTAATTATGTCGGCAGGAAACCCTGGTAGCTAACGGAGGCTGGATGAGGAAGACTTTTAGCGGCGGCGAAGGGATTTCTGAGCAACTAATGGTTGTTTTTACAGTCGGGGAAACGTCTCAGCTGATTAAATCTTACAGCTTGTGGGTTTTAAAACATGGATTTGTGAAAAAATGACTCAGACACAGAAGGAATCATGTGTAGAAGATGAGACTGTAGGTACAAATGAGATCTAACTTATCCCACGTGGTCATATAAATCTTCACAGTTTAGCCAAAATGCTCTTTAGGTGAATGATCAGAAAGTAGATAACACTTCTCATCTTGCTCCTATCACTGTTTGACATTAAACTGCTGCAGTTTTGCGGTTAAAACGATGATATTGATGCTCAGTTATTTAGATTTGTGGCACCTGGAGTGGACGTGAGGTTGATTTGGTTCGTGAAAGCTTAAAAATGCTGGAAATTAAAAACATTTCGACCCACCTCTATGTACTTTTAGTGCCTCTGATTCAGGTATAGTTTCAGCATGGTTTCATTAAATACGCTAAAGTTGTTGTGCATAAAAGACGAGCTGATTCTCAGGGGTTCAGGTGGGGTTTACTACGTCTAATATCCTTGGGATTAACATGATGTACAGATGGATTTTACACATAAAAATCAAGAAATAACCTCTTCTGTAATCACTCTTTGGGCTCAAATGTAACCCCCATAAATGACATAATTTCCGTCACAGTGTCGAGGCGGCAGTCAGTTTTCGGCGAGTGGAAAACTGGATTTTATGACTTGAGTTGGTCCTTCAAAGCTACGATGTCCGATAAAAACAGCTGGATTGGTTGTAACAGCAGTGTGGCGCTGCTCGTGTTGGACGAGCTCTCCAACCACACTGACCCACTGTAGCTGCAGTTTAAAAGACTTCTTCCTCGATGTTTAGGAAGCCGTGGTTCTATTTGTGAGGTCAGCAGTGAATCTGGGCCACGCTTTTGTATAATTACATCAGGTGGCGACACACTTCCCTCCGGTGACGTCAGCCACATTTTCTGTCAGCTAATGAGGTCATCGATTTTTGCGGACGCCGCTGATTATTCATTGCACCCCGACCTTGAAGGTTCGTCAGAGCTGATCCCGGCTGATAGCGGGAACGTTTTGTGAGTAATCAGCTAATATTTAATGAAGGGGAAACATGTTTGTGCAGAGGGCGCAGTTGGTAGCACTGTTGCCTCGCAGCAAGAAGGTTGCCGGTTTGCGTCCCAGTGGGGGCACCGGAGTGGAGTTTGCATGTTCTCCCCGTGCAGCGTGGGTTCTCTCCGGGTTCTCCAGCTTCCTCCCACACAGTCCAAAAACATGTTGAGGTTAATTGGTGATTCTAAATTGTCCGTAGGTGTGAATGTGAGTGTGCTTGGTTGTCTGTCTCTAAGTGTAGCCCTGTGATAGACTGGTTACCTGTCCAGGTGAACCTGCCTTCACCCTGAGTCAGCTGGGATAGACTCCAGCCCCCCATGACCCTAGTGAGGATTAAGCGGTGTATAGATAATGGATGGATGTTTGTGCAGTACATTTGAAGCTCAGTTTAGACATTTAAGGAATGCTACAGAGCGTTTTTTTTTTCTTTACCTGAGCGGACTCGCCACTCCGTTGGCCTTCTCGCTGTCCTCCACTTGGCATTTCTTTTTAGCAATCTTGTGAAGGATGGACGCCTTCTCTCGGAATTTACCTGCAACAAACAAAGCGGCCGCGGTGGTCAAACAGGGAACAAAGCTCGGCTCGCCGCGGCGTCTTCAAAGCCCCCATCGGCCTCTTCCCAGTCAGAGCTCCTCCGCCGCCGTCACCTTTGACCCCAGACGGGTCGCATTTCAAAAGCACAGTACAAACAGGGCGGCGGCTTCACACAAAACTGCCGTTCAAACAACACCGAGTCAATATGACATAGCATATCATATACTGATGATCCTGCAATGTCCCGGTCCTTGGCGGAGGCAAAGCCGGGGGAGAGAATCTCTTGTGAAAAGATCTGCCTTTCTGGAGGTCAGATTCCTTCCTGGTCTGCTCTCGCTTCAGATCAAAAACTCACAAGAGATGTCGGAGGCCAGCGGGGAAGCAAACAAAGGCTTAGCTGGGGGACGACAGGTAAAGAAAATCTGATTTAACCTGGAGGCACCTGCTTTTATAATCTTCGTCGCCTCTTTTTTTTTCAAGCATGTGAGCAAAAACAAAACAAAAAAGAACCCTGTTGTAGATGTTTAAATGGTGAATATACTGCCTCTGATTGCATTTATGGATTGAATAAATCCATTTATAACGGAAAGACAATGACGCGCAGTGGGCTGCACTGAAACCACGACCTTGCTGGCTTACATAATCAGCGTGCCCTCGTGATATCGCAAATAACGACTCACGCAAGGCGCTCACGTTGGAACGGTGGACCAACGACCGGCTCGCGGAACCATGACTTTCCAGATACGAGGAGAAATGTGAATCCAGTCGCAGCAAAGTCATGTCGTGCATGTGTCAGGCTCCCATGTGCTACAGGTTAGACGTTAATATTTAACGATTCCGAAGTAGCGGCGGCTGCTCTGAAAGCGGCTTGTAATATAACACATTTTTGCAGCTTTAATCTGGCTGCATCCCCTTTCGCTGCGTGTCTGTCCTGCCTGGTCCCGATCACACAATCAATGCAAAAGATTTTCTTCTTCTTTTTTTTTTCATTTTACGAGGGCATGGCTGATTTGTCAGAGCCTGACAGAGTGACGCGTCGATACGTACTCCACCCAGCCATGTCAACACTGTCTGTGACCTTCTGGCGAAATCATTAACCACCCCCAAGTCACTGGCGGCCTTCCTCCTGCCTCCTCCATCTCGCTTCTCCATCACTGCCGCTTTTTTCCTCTTTGGCAAACGCCATCTTTCCTCCTCCCTGCCTTTTATTTCCCCCCTTCCCTTCCCCCCCAACATACACATGCACACAAAAGACACACACAGATACCGCACATTTGCACAAGACAGCGTCGCACATTCCACCGCCTTGACGTCACTCACCTGAGTCGGTCACTGTCAGTCGGTTTGTGTGTGCGTGTGCGTGTGCAAGTGAGCGTGTTCGTTTATGCAAATGAGGGCCGTTGTCAGGTCTCTGCATGGGTGTACAGGTAGCAGGGTGGGGCTGTTCTGCTGCAGGTATTCAGGAGAAAACCGCCCCGGCTTGATGTGTCAGCACTAATTAAAGTGTTTTTAGAGAGGAAGCAGTCGAGCAGAAAGAAAGGCCTCGACACGACAAATCCACCACAATCAAAAGGTGAAATCTCCTCGAGCTGGTTTAGCAGGAGGTTGTGAGTGCACTGTAAAAAAATAAGTGGTGTTTGTAGTTGTGTTTGTTTTTTTACAGTGTGCTGTTATTTTATAGATTTTTACAATTTTGCTAAATGTAAAAAAAAAAGGTGATTCTTCAAATGAACACGTCTACTGTGTTTAAATCAGAAAAAAAACATTATTTAACAGATATTTTTGTTTTTCGAAACACAGAAAACTTCTGTATAGTGACAGAAAAATGGTTTAAAAAAAAAAAAAATTTTAAGCGATTATTTTACAGATTTTACCCGTTTTGTTATGTTACAGACACAGAAATAATATTAATTTACATATTAGAAATTGAAAAATTAAACTTTTGACAGTATTTAGGAATAATTTTCAAAATAAAATCCTGTCAGATTTACTGATTTTTGTAAATCTTTGCAAAATTATGAACAATATCGAGTAAATCACTGAAAAAAAATAACAACATACATGTTGACTGTTTAAAAAGATAAAAATAAAATAAAATAAAATCAGGCCACATCAATAATCTATATTTTTAGAAATGGTAATTACTTCTTTTACAACACTTGACTGTAAAATGACACTGTTTTTAAGCATTTATTTTGCAGATATTTGCTGCTTTTGAAACAAGAATTAAGCATATTAAGGCGTGCAAACTGGTAAGTCATTTTTCAACTAGTATTTTATAGATTTCCCCTTTTTTGTTAAATTACAGATAATAGGTTGTAGAATACTAGAATTATTAATGGTAGAAGTATTCATTTAGATGTTAATTATTTAAAAAAAAAAAAAAAGAAGTGCCAAAACTGTAAATCATTTCCACATCAAAACTGTTTTTTTGAAATGTATTCATTTTTCTAATAATAAATAGTAATACACTCTTTTGCAGTGTGTAATCATAAAATTACAGATTTACCTTATAGAAATCAGCTAAAAGATATTATTACTTTACAGATATTTGCTGTTATTTTTACAGTTTTCTAATATTTTAACTTCTTTTTTATTTATTTATTTTACAGTGTGTATTTAGCTGCTGTTTCATCAGCTTTTTGCAGAACTTATATATTTATTTTACTTAATAATTCAAACAAATATCAAAAAGTCCTGCTCCAGCTCAACTCCACACAATCTGTAGTTGCTGCATTTTGCCTTGTGGGGGGGATTTGGCTTTAAATTAGCTCCAAAGATGAACAACCACAACCTCAGAGTCCCTTCAAGGTGCATGAAAGCACAAAAAGACCAAAAATAAAAGCTGTCGTTTGTGTTTATTATCTAAATGCTTTAACGATTAGGCGGCTGGTTTGTGCAGCGAAGTAAAAAAAAAAACCAACGGGGCCAATTGGGGGGGCGCACACTTTGTCAGAACTAGCGGTGAAGCAACCGCACAGTCTTTAAGTCCAACCCCACAGCCGCTCATTTCCCCCCCCGTCAGCTCGGCCTTGTTACGCAACCGCTGGGTGGATGAGTCACTCCGGTTTGCCAAATTCAGCAGCGTACGTCTTTAGGTGTGTGCACCCGCCGCTGGTGCAAGTGGAACCTCCCAGTGAGCGCTGAGGCATGGATGATGTATTCCTCAGCAGCGCAGATGGGGACAAAGAACCAAAGAAAGGGGAAATGAAAAAGAAACTTTGCCTGATTACCGCCGACTCGATGGCTTCGCTGTACATGTGCGTGTCTGTTTGCGGTTCTGGCAGGCTGCGTGATAAATGTCTCACGAGTCTCACAGAAACAAAGGATTAGAACTGGAGTATGTCTCAAAAAAAAAAAAAAAACCCATGAAGGCACCACACACAGTAACACACGATATGTATTCTCTGGGCAGAAATCAAACAGAAGCCAAAAAAAAAAAGAGAAAATCATAAAAAATGGCATGGCTACCATGATTTGCACTTATGTCAGTGAAATCTCAGAGAGGTCGTCCAAATTAAAAGGCAAAACTGTGCAAAAGGTGTGTCACAAGCAAATAAGAAGAAAAAAAAAAAACAGAAACGGGGCTGGAGGTGTCGTTTCATGATGAAGATGGAGGAGAAAAAAAACAAGAGGGGATGACGGAAGCTGACTCAAAGAATCAAGTAGTGAAAACTTTCAGGCTTACCTTCCTCAGTCATTGAGTGATAATATTTTAGTTTCCCATAAGTCCCAAGCTCTACAACATCACAGCAAAAGACAAGGGTAAGGCAACGAACACACAGAGAAAAAGGAAAAGAGTGAACATGACAGAACAAGACAGGTCCGCTGCTTCTACGCACATCACAAACTGTACAGACACTCACACGGGCACAAGGAGAAGTGACATGCAGAAAGACTGAGTCTCTCTGAGTCATCGCTGCATAAGTGCAAAACAAAGCAAGGATTGAATTTCAGATAAAACACATTACAGGCTTACAGTAAGTCAGTCTGATAAAGAGCCTGCCGGTGGCGCAGGTTAGAGAAAGGTATTGCGAGAACAAGGGGTGGAGGGGGGGGAAGGGCAGTCAATATACCACCATTAAAAAATAATAAGAGGTTCATAAGAAGATATATTAAGGAAACAAACAGAACAGGAAAGTCAGAAGAGAATATACTGCGACGACATGCAACAAAAAGATGAGTCCTCCTCTCCTCTTCACGCCAGCTCATATCAAGGGCCGGATGATTCTGCGTTTTTTTTATTTCCACAGTGAAACCCGAACAATTAATTCGACTCCCTTACGGTAGCAGTTCTCTGCAGCAAATAGACGGTCAGCACATCTAAGCGTGATGCATGAAACCTGCAGCAGAAGGGAGGACCGCAGATTCCTGCCTCCCACGGTTGTCTCGGGAAAAGTAGCTCACAGCTCGGAGATGTTCTGCCTCTTTGGGCGATAAATAACTAATGGAGTGAGGGTTCAGTTTGTAGCGCTGCTCGGTTCAGTGTTCTCCACCGGCAGGTTCTGGCTGCTGCAACCATTACTACAAGAACATGTTCCTCTTTTTTTCCCCTCTGTGACGCCATCCGATGCGTCCCAAGTTCCTTCTAAACACACTGACAGCGACTCCCAACATAAAGGCAGCATCATACAGAACTACAGAACCGATGAAAGGCACTCACACGCCTTGGAAGCTTCAGCCTTTTATCAGCTGTCAATCGTGGTCGATTGAATTTAGCGTTTTTTGAACGAGAAATTACAAAAAAAGACTCTTTCATGTCAAAGTAAAAACGACTGCAAAGTTACTCACTCTCTTTGACTATTTCGTAGATGCTCAGGCAGCTTCACACACCTCCTTCTTCAAGCTCTGTCAGATTAAACAGGGACTATGAGTTACTTTTCAAGTCCAGCCACAAATTCTCAGTCAGACTGAGGTCTGCGCTCTGACTCGGTGACTCGAAAGCATCCACCTTGTTAAATTTAAACCATTTCGGTGTAGCTTTGGGTCACTGTCTTGTTGGAAAACCAGTATTGTCTCAAGTCAATGTTGTCTTGCAGACTGTTTGGTTCTCGGATTCACCTGAACTGCATTCATTTTATCATCTACCTTTACAAGTCTCCCAGCTGCCGAAAAGAATCCCCACCTCATGATGCTGCCACCACC